CTTACGGTCACTACTGCTCACTTGACTCAATTGTCCGTCTCTATCTCTGCCTGTTTGCAATTAAATTCCGATTAATTGTCTTGCTTTATCTGGCGCGCTTATATACAGGAATATAGGGCGTCTAGCAAATACTGGATTATTCGTGAGGTTCTCCGATCCTTCTAGAAACTCATCACGTGTTACTAGCGTCACGTGACTTCCGCTGTCGTAACAATATCTTCAATCTCTCTGTCTGCTATTCCAGTTCCGATTAATTGTCTCGTTTTATCTGGCGCGCTTATATACAAGAATAGAGGGCGTCTAGAATGCACTAGCCTCTTCAGGAACCTTCTAGATACTCATTACGTGTTACCAGCGTCACATGATTTCCGCAGTCGTAACAATATCATATATTAGATAAACGTTTTATCTTAGCACACCTTAGAAATGAAGCAAACAATAGTGAAAGCGATAATATGAAAGACACCATTCGTTCGTTTGTTTTATAGTAAAGCCACATTGGGCTATCTGCTGTGTTCACTTCGTAAGTCCGTAAATATATCGTTTTCCCATCGGGGAATATAAAAAGCATACAACAAACTACTCCTTTCCTAATTAACTATCGTACTTAAGTTAAAATGAATATTAAGGATTCGAAGAAGAATTGGAAAACTCTGGGATACAACTTAAAAGCTAAACTAAAAAATAAACGATTCATATCATCCAGAAATCAATTCCAATATTTATGTACTATCTTAAATCAGGTAAATAAAGTAAATAAATCTGATTGAGGGACCTTCCATGTAATAAAACAATTTGTTTAATTTGTGAGAAGGGTTATACTACTTATGATCGTTGGGGCACCCTAGATGCTAATGCATCATCGGGGATTCTTGAGCAGGCTTACCTGGTCCGTAACTTTGAATCAGCTGTGTTTCATGAATTCTGCAAGTTGTTTGGCATACGAAAGACCAGAATAACGCCACTCCACCCACAGTCTGATGGGATGATAGAAACTTACAACTGGACACTGGGACAGGAATTGGCAAAG